CAGCAGAACAGGTTATCCATTCAGACAAATCACAAAAAGCATTTGTTTCCAGTGTACTGCAACCATGTACAAGTATTGCCATTAAAAAAATAAAAATCCAGCATCCTTTACCAGACATTTTAAGGAAGCTTAATTAATAGTCCTTTCTTGAAGGCATCAGATTTTGTCCCATCAACACAACCAATTCATCAGTGACAGTGAATTATTCTTCAAGATAGATGTAAAGAAAACTGGGCTCAATGAGCTAATCAAATTAATTACTACTCCTATCTACTTGCTTATAAACTGTCTCTCAGTCTTTCATCATACAGGAAAGAAGAACTCTGATTAAGACTGCCACATTACTCTCACCAACATCTTATTGCAGAAGTGGATAAAGAAAGTTGCCTCAAATCCATGTTTCACCATAATACATCAATAAAGGGGATTAAGGTGACCATACCTTAAATTTATAGAAAGTATTGGAAGCCTGGGTTAACAGCTGGGACTGAAAATAAGGTTCTCAAAAGGGAAAGAAGAGAGATGGACACAAATGAAAATTCATAAAAACTGAATTTCCAGAAGAACTTCCTGTCCTCCAAAAAGTTTGGGAAAAAAAAAAAAAAAAGGTTTTGAAATTCTAGAACTGTGCCATTTCAACATCTTAAATACAAAAAAAAAAAAAAAAAAGCCTTGGGTTTGTGGTTAAAAGCATCTTCTGTTGAAATTCAATTTAGTTTATATTAAAAGGAATTTTTAAAAAGGAAAAAAAAAAAAAAAAAAAAAAAAAAAGAACATTATGATGAAATAATATGTTTGCTTGTTTCTTAGGTCACCCATATATTCACTGAGCTCCATGCCAGGCCTAAAATTTCAAGATGAACAGAACCTTTGTGGGATGAGAAAACTGTTCTCTGTATATCCACACAACAAAGGGAACATAATTAGCAGATCAATCTTATTCTAGTTTCCTTGCTATGTAGCTCAGAAGTAACTTTTGAGAACCACCTTGGTGAATAAAATTATAGTTCAGACCTCCAAACTTTCAAATGTACAAATGTCTCCTTATTCTCCACGGTGTATATTTTAAAACAGATCTACTCAGATTATCTCCAAGGGATTAAAACTGAGTTTCTTCAAAAAAAATCAAACTAAAATTGCTCTTTTAAACTCATGAAATTAATGTATTAAATATACGCACCTGTATTTTAACATGGCCTTTGCATGGCAAATAAGGTAGCCGTTGATGGTAAGCCTGTTACAATAAACCAGGTAAAAAAAATGTAAAGGATAATATATTTGAAAAGCTTAAGAGAAGTTAAGAGAGGTAACACCCCTTTTATAGCATCCAGCTTTTCCAAACATCATTTCTCCAGAGTGTGAAACATGGTAGTAGCAAGAAAAAGCTGAATTTATTTGAATATGCACGAGTCATAAATTTAAGAAACTCAATAAAAGAGTGCTTGATAAAGTAAGCTGATTCCTGCATTTGACAAGTGATCAGATTTCTGCTGGGCTCTCATACTGTGATCAGCTCCTAGTATCTGAGAGGCATTTGGCTAAAGCATGTCTTGAAGACAGCACTCCAACTGAGGAACAGTGGAGGTAGTTATTAAGGCACAATGTGCATATATTGAAGAAGCAAGCCAGAACAACAGTTAGACTGATAGAAACAAAGATTACTACCCATTAACTACAATCTAAAATCCAAGAATCTGCATCTGGAATTATGCATATCCATTTTGGACACTAGATCATCAGTTTCTCCGTCACCGTTTGAAAAGCTATGTCATTACATTTTTTCTAGCATTAGTTTGGACAATCCAGATGTCTCAGCTGAACCACCAACCCCATCCTTCTGGATGAAAGTCATACCGTCAGAAAAGTGATTTCCTCTTATGTCTTATGAGATAGTTAACCATTCTGAATGAATACCTTTTGTGACCGTTGACAATAAGATATGCTATTCATGCACTCATAGTCTTTTATAGCATAGGCTACAGTTTTGGGGGTTGTTTTGGGATTTTTGTTGGTGGCGGCAGTGGTTTTCTTTGTTGGTGTTTATTTTAAATCAGACAATGTTAAAGATAGATTTGTAAGGATGGTGTTTGAGAGTCAGCATGAAATGACACAGTCTTCCTTCTAAACATGTAGTCAATTAATTTATTTATCTTTCTAAAACTGAAGAACCACTTCTTTTCACGTCCAACTGTTCAGTCAGTTATACATTCCTTTCCCAAATTTCCAAATATCCCACTGTATTTAAGTTTTGACAGTGACAAATGCCAAAGGTTGCTGGAAATATGGAAAACAATGATATAGCTGTCCTCAACTGGAAGACTGGCTATGGCAAAGGGTTCTCTTTGCCTCAGGTCACCCTACAAAAAGAAAATTAGTTTAGCTTAGAAACAGTCTGTGTTAATAAGCAGTATCTTATAATTTCCTCTGTGGACATTTTTTTATTTCACTAAGTGAACCTAACACATTTTAGAGAGAAACGCATCACATAGGAAAGCAGTACACATGCTTACTTGTTTATACACTCATTCATGAACTGAAGTACAATGAGCTCTTTTGGAGAGAAGAAGGGTCTCTTTAGTCCACAAAAAGGGATTTCTAATACGTAAAATTACAAAGTGCCCCCTTTATGCTAGTTACACAACCTTGTAATGACAGTACCACATAGAAACAGTACTGTAGCCTGTAATTTTTCAAAATTCTTTAGAATAATCTACCCCAAATCAGGAGATGGATTCAGATTATTGCTATGGTCATCACTACTTCCAAGGAATTCTTTGTAATGGTATTTGTGAAATTATAGATCTATAGCTCTTAAGGCTAGAAAGGACCACATCGAACATCTCATGTTTCCTGCTCTTTAGTACAACCATATAATTTCACCCAGCTGTGTCTCCATTGTTTGCTAAAGCATACCATTCACTCTCAGTTTGAAGACTTCAAGAAATGGTAAGCTCACTGTTCCTCTTAATAATTTATTCCAGTGGCTGATAACTTCATTGTTAGCAACTGAGAAGTATAAGACTAATCTAATTGGCAACCTAAACATACTAGGAATATCTCTACTTGTTTAAATGATGGCATTCTGGTTCATTAATATCCTTCTAATCAGTTTTATTCATCATAAAAGAATAAGGCCTTAAGATTATTTTTTTTTTAGTAACTGGTACTTTTATGAACTTTTTGCATTTGTTTCTCATCATTTTAGTTTCTAGAAGCTTATAAAATTTGGAAGCAAATTCTCATTCTGGTTTCCATCTTCACAGGCCACAATGCTTTTAAACAATGACTGATACTTTCTTCTGTAGCTTTCCGTGATTTCCATCCATGCAGCCTTTTTTCTTGATAGAATGGAAGCCTTCTTCTCATAGTGGAATTATTCCCAGATGGACTCATGGCTGAAAATTCATGAGAACCCCTGCACATGCATGAAAAAAAGAATAAAAAATGAGATTACTTTTTGGGATACCACAAAACACATTTCCAGATAAAATAATAATTTGCATTTTTGCAGACTTTTACATCTTCAAAGCATTGGACATGTATTCATCATCAGAAAAGATTACTATTACTAAATGTCATAAATATTATTTTTCTAAGGGTCTGCTTCACCATCACTGTCAGATTTACCTGCTGCAGTTCAAGGGGTGATAAAACTATTATGTATGACCGAAAGACTTAGGCTCTGCAGTGTACCCAACTTTGACAAGTACCCTGTAAACCCAGTTCTTGGAAATCTCACTCCCTGTAACAAAGTTAGGATATGGAAAAAGTGTGTCGCACAAAGACTGACTGCTATCATATATTAAGACCAGGTGGACTTAATGGGTGGGCTACAACCCTCTTATCTGCCCTCCCCCTGTAAATTGGTATTCACTTTGAAGCTTTACCCTTACAAGTTCTGAGTCCTTTATTAGAAACTGAAGCTCAGCAGCACTGAGGATTAGCCTTTATTGTCTCACTCATGGCTAGGCCAGTATGAAGGCACTATATTTCTGCAAGAGGTGCTTAGTGATGGCAGAAGTCCTGTTGAACTGTAATTCTCAGAATATCTCCAAACATTGCAATAGAGCACAGAGACTCCAAGACAAACCTGGCAGCTGAGCATATGCAAAGGTGCTGTAAAGGTCCACAGAGTGTCTCAGCCATGTCTTTATGGTACTGCACCCAACCATGTCAGCCCTAGCTCAAATTCAGATCCATTCTGATGCAGCTCTTCTAACTCAGCATCCCTCTCACCATGTCAGCAGCACCATCCCAGCAGGGACAGACAGCCAGGAACTGTCCACTGAAGTGCATTGTTACCACAGTCAACACTTCAGAAATGAATACACAAAAATGCTGAAAAGAAAGCAAGAAAGTACTCACAAATTTATATTTATCATCTGTTACATTCACAGCGGAAAGCCTGAGTTTGACTGATTTGATCAAGCATCTTCTACCTAAACTTAGGCCAAAGAAAATCATGGCAATGCAGAAGTAGCTGATAAATCAAAAGCAGAAATTTAGGAATTAAAGCTCAGTTCAGGCCTTTTATCTTTATTACCCTTCTTTATGTGCATATGGTAGGTGTTCAACACTTTCCAAGTCCGTATGATATTCCTTCGTGCTTCTGGAGCTTTAGAGCTGTGGTCGTCTATAAAAAGGCAACCTAACAGTTTCCTGTGGCTGAGAGTTGAATGTGTTATTTGTTACCAGCTGGTTCATGGTTAGATTGAGCCCAAGTCTTGGCTTTAAGTGATCAGACTTACTTTAAACCATTTGCTCATGGGGTGAATTCACATATAGAGAGAATTCTGGTGCAATATTTTATTTCTGACTTATGGCACATGACTCTTTTTTCCTAAACCAATATTAAAACCAGAAACCATAATATGCCAAATGCAGACTGCATTTTTTGGAAAGTTGATACCAAACGTAACAGTAAATGAACCCTTTTTGAAAGGTTAAAGTTGCTTTCATATAAAACATTTTCTACCAGGAAATGGAAGTGGAATGTTGAACTAAGCATTTAACTTGAAAGAACTGTGCATGGATTCCAATGGCTGCATTGTCCTTTAAAATTAGAAAAGCAAAAGGTTTTTATGAGAATAAACAGCTCTAGTTTCATAAAACGGGTATTATGGTGATGAGGTAAATGAATCCCAGTATTTTGGATGCTTCTTTTAACCTTCCATCAGCCCCTTCTTGTGCATTAAGCATTCTAGAGTGAAGCTTCACAGTATGGCTGAATTCAGCCAGCAGTCCTGCTGCCTTCACTTTTCCCCACATCCTCCCTTCTCTGGCATGCAGGCTTCTATTCCATCCTCTCTGACTTTCATGTGGCCCTTGAGTGAGCCCGGTTGAATTACTAAACCAATAGAACACCATCCATATTTTACTTATGCTGAGTTAGCTTTCTACAAGATGGTAAGGTGAACAAGCCATAGGGGTGATACAGATATCAGAGCTGCTGCAAAAGTGGTAATGGCTGAGAGCAGCCTTTCTACATGTGCTCCATTCACTTGGGAAGCCTCAAAACCTTAAAGCACCCATTCTAAATAACATAACTGCCTTTTACAAATACAATACAGGGCCCATTGGTTGATTGCAAACCTGTTGCATTAGCTTCTACAAAAAGCTAATGGAAGAAAGTAAAAAGATCAAATAGAATTACATAGAATTACCACTTACAGAAACAAAGACAAAGGGCTGACAGACGCACCATAGTGTGGTTGTGCATTCTCAGAAGTAGACACCCCTGGATGAAGGGCAGAAATCCATGCATCTTCATACTAAGTAATCAAAGAAAGTTCTTTTCTGAATACAATTTTCTACTTTGGGGGGAGTGGAGGGGGAAATAGAAAAAAAAAAAAGAAAACCAATTTTACAGTTTTCTTGGTTCTCAGTTTTGATTCCTTCATCATTCAGTGTGGGGAAAAAAGAAAAAAAAAAAAAGCCATTCAAATGAACTTGGCACACTGTTCTACTGCTGATTTGCCAGATTCTTGTGTCCTCAAGTGTGACACAGTGTTATTATTTGGTGTCCTGTGTTTGAAATCTGAAGTGATTTAACCTGGCTCTCTGCCATCCCACTTGCTGACATGTTGACACCATGTAAATAATGCATAGCTTTGTGGCCACACTACTTTCATGCCACATGCTGAGAGAAAAAGACAACACCTGCTATTATTATTAGCCACATCTTAGATACCTTGGGACTATGCAAAAGGGACATCAAAATTACTTCAAACATGTTGTGGTCTCCAGCTCCAAATTCCTTCATTAGGACTGAAAAGGAACTCATACATCTACTGTGATTAAAAGCAGAGATTGCTGATTTACATCTCACACTCTTTAAAAAAGTTAACCATTCTGAGACTGTTGATAAATAACTGTGTCTTTTGACTGACACAACAATTTCAACCAGCTAGATACTTCTCTGTACACCATAGAAAAGGGGACCATTTTAGAAGAATGTTTACAGAGCAACAAAAACTCAGTTCCAGGCTGCAAAATTTTAGCTGTGTAATTAATTTCAGACACTGCCTCCTCTATTAACATTAGCCTGTCTATTTCTGCTCTTCTGATCTTGGCAAAATATAAACCTACATATACCATCAAGGCCGGCTTACAAAAACAAAATGAAGATTTCACTGAGGACCACTGCAAAGCAAAAGTTGACAGATATGTCACCTGCATCTTATAGGACCATCTGATGTCTTGCATCAGTGTTCCCCAAATATTGCTGCACATACCTTCTTTTCACATACTTGTGACTGCCAAACTGAGGAAGTGGCCGGTTGCACTTTACCTTTCCATAGTATACAGCAATGGAAAATTTGCTTGTCTTCACCATATCACTGCCCCAGTGCTGTCAGAGCAAGGCTGCAATATGAATTCTTCCTGTGAAAACATACAACAGTAAAGTAACTGTGCAGTCAGAAGAGAGAGCAAAATACAACAAACTTGAAAAGTCAAAGACAAGTATTTATAGTTCAGAAGCCTACTTTGTCATAGAGAATTCACCTCAGTCTTCACTCTTGAGGCCAGCAATAGGGAATTGTGTAGGTACACAGCTCCATACTGACTTCAGATTCTCAAAGCTATAAATAATAGAATCTCTGGCCCCAAATCTCACAACTGTGCAACTAGATAATCATTTTTCAGAGAAAATCAGATATACTGCTTGAAATGCTCAGCCCAAGCGAATTCCTTTGGAAACTCTGAAAACATGCAAACATTAAAAAAAAAAAAAAAGGAAGGGGCTCTTTTTCAACTCCTATGAGGCAGTCAGAGCACACAAATTTAGTTTATTTCTCCTCAAGGATGAATACATTGGACAATATTCTGTACTTGTCCACATTGTTCAAAAGGATCAGCATTTTGAGTGTCCCAGACCGAGACCAATTCTTTCTGCTTTATCCATTAAGAAAACCAGGAATCTTGTGGTCTCTTTTCAAAAGAATGTCTTTGTCCAGAATCTTGCCTCAGAGATTTTATTTGCAATATGTTATTTAGAAAAGAAAAGAGAGCTGGAATGACTTCCTAATTTCTTTACTAAATCTGTTCCCAATCTACTTTATTTCAGGCTTTGTTACAGACAGTTCCTTACATGACATTCTACTCTGAAGCCCTGTAATTACACACAAGCTGGTCAAACTTTCGCTTGACTGGAAAAGAGTTGTAGTAACTCAATTAAATTGAAATGAAAACTTTGGAGAAAAGAATAGGTTGGTTGAGAGGATAACTCATTTTGAGATGAAATTTCTGTTCTTACAGTTGCCCTGAGTAATGTAGATGCTCCTCATACAGAAGTGAGAAAAAGTATCTCGTGGTGTTTTATACAGTTTTTGTTTTGCCTGAGGTTTGAATTTCACAAGGCTAACTAGATTGCCCTTGTCTAGGAAACCCTGGGGGTAATGCCAGATGGTGTCTGCATGCAAGCTAGAAAGAGTGAAAAATGGACAAGAGTGGTGGCTGAAAACCAGGGAATAAAAAACACTGCACTGGAATAGTGGGTAAAATATAAAAAGTTAACAAGAAGTTATGAAGTGGCACAACAAGAGTAATGAAGTGTGCTCACCACAGGCAAAGTCTTCTGAGAAAACCATCAGCTTCAGAAAATCCACCCAAAATCTTGTTGAGAGGTGTATACATGTGTATGCAAGAATAAATGAGTTATTCCAAACAGGTCAATGCTAGACCAGTAGCAAGTAAAAACAGCACAACTTGCACATTCTTACTGTGAGCTGGCTCAGCAGCCCTGCCTGAATGGTAGACTATAAAAGCTCCCATTCTGTGGTAGCCAACTTGACTGTTTTCTCCACCAAAATGTCCTACTCAACTGACTTTAAATGTCCAAGTAGGCCTCGTATTTTGCAAAGCTCAATGTGTATCAACACAGAAAGCAAAATCTGGGTAAATGTGAGCTGACTACAGCAATGAGTGTCCTTGGGAAGAAACACTGTGCTCTTCCTGTCATTGTGGTTTCCTCTCTTGGTGGTAGAGGGGAAAGGAACAAGGGAAATAGAGCCTCTGCCACATTTCTTGCATTTTATCTGACACCTTTATTTACAACTTTGAGCACATGTGGTTTTGCCAACAGAAGGAAGACAGAGACTGTGAGCAGCATGTGTATGCGACTCCTTTTGTGCTGTGGCTGTGAAAGGTGCTGGGATCCAAGCTGGGCAGGCAAAGAAAGGGAAAGCTGGAGCTCAGCAGTGGTGATACAAAGTGCTGATGGCACAGCAGAGGAAGCAGGGTGTGGGAGCAGAGAGCAAACTCATGGGCATGAGTCTGAATGGAGGTCAGTTGAGTTTCATTTTCCGGCCTGAGTTACTTAGAGAACAATCTCAAAAAGTACACAAAATAGCAGGGGAGGGAGGGTTATACACATAGCTATTATAGGCCCATCCTTGCAGCATTTTGAACATTTCCAGTGATAAGCCACTAGTATTAACATTTTCGTTTCCACATCTAAAGGCACACACTATTATACATGGAAGTGTAATCTTGGCTTGATTGTTTACAATTCCAGTGTTATACCCTCTCTTATCTGTTCACTTTGGCTAATGTGGCTTGATGATTTCACTCTGTGTTTTCCCTTTTCAATTGTATACATCAGATAGCAGATATTCATACTTCCCTCCCACCATGTGACATGTCTTCAGAACACAGTGACAACGTGGCAGGCTTACTTTTGCAAAGAGTCATCCTTGATCTATTCTGGCATTTCTTAGAAGCTAGCACTAATATTTACAGTATAAATAAGGAAATGCAAGGTACAGACTGTACTGTGGTTACAGTGGTTAAATTCTGTATGTCACATTTCTACAGAAAATTGGTACTCAATCTGAAGATCAATTTGTTACTTAAAAGCTAATTCTATGTCTGAAATAGCTCTTTAAAACTGTTATCTGCTCCATCTCTGTACTAGTCTGTTATCTCTGATATGATTCCTGTACTGGAAGACATTGCTGTGAAAGAAGACTATGCCTGCAGCAGCATACTTGAAAAATACTTGAAAACAAGTAAACTGTTGTCCGTCTTCATTCACAGTATGTGCTGTGTTAAACAATGAGGAATTATGAGGCTTATTAAGGTTGCATTGAAAAGTGATGAATCAATTTCACTGAAAATATCTTGAGGATTCTAGGCTGTAATTTCAAAGGTGCTTGATGTTCCAGATAAATGTCTACCTAGCTTCTGTAAAAATCTAAGGTACATGAACTCAACTGCAGTCTCAGGTGAGCACCTTCAAACTCTCCAAAACTGCAGTAGGCAACTATTTGCATATTAAATGGATAGACACCCCTAAAAACCTGGACCCCAGCTCTTGATGACGAGTGTTAGCCTGTCAGCTCACTTTGGTATTGAACACTGTACTGCTGCCTACCTGGCCACTAGGAGTAGGTCACCACCCATTTCAATAACTCAGTAGTAATGAATGATGAATATCCTTCTTGGCCTCTATTTGAACTTGTGACATAGGCTAAATAGCTAACCACACCATTATAACCATCCTAGCCCTCCAGTCTTACTATCCTACATACCTCTAACAAATAAATATCCTTCTGACAGTCTTTCCTCAGGCTTGGTATGAATGATTTGACAATGTCCAGAAAATTCCTATGAAAAGACATTGTGAAAAAATTTTTCATTCTAAGACCTACTTTTTATTATACGTGTGTGTGTGTGTGTGTGTATATATATATGTATATACACACACATTAATTTTGAAAAAATGTAACAACAGTCTAAGCTAGGATCAGTGTGTCTGGAAACCATAGCAAAGCCTAAATGCTCCTGAAGTAAAAAATAAAAAATAAAAAAAGTTATTAACAATAAGTTCTGGTTTAAAAAAAAAAAAAAAAAAGGAATTTGTGCTTTTAAGATTAAAACAGTGAAAGATTTAGCAAGCCAAAATGCCTTCCTTTTCTATTCCAACTAAATCATACACTATTTGGGGTAGAAATTTGGCAGGGCACTCTGTTGGATTATCCCTACATTGTGTTTGGACTGATTTCTTTATCCCATTTTGATATATGCAAGTCTAGCCTAGCCCTGAATATCTTCACTGCTGCTGATTCCAAAGCTTCAGTTGGCAGCTGCTTTCCTTGGCTAGTAGTTCCCTGATATATAATCCTAATTTTCCTCTCACAATGCGTAGGGCCACTTTTCTTTCTTTTTTTCTTTGTTGTTAACTAATGAGTATAATCAAACGTTGCCTCTTTTTAGTTTCCTTTCTATTGTGGACAAAGAGAGGTGTCACTTTAAATTTCCTGGAATTAACATGATTAATTCTCTTGACACCATACTGTAGGTCTTACTTTGCAAGCTTGCTATCAATGTTCTGACACTGCTCAAGATTTAAGACTTACTAGGTTTTTTTTAAACAAAATATCCAAAACTAGTTTACAGTATATTTCAGCTGACGGCCATAAATGACCGTAAGTAACTGACGTTTTTTCTGTTCATTATATTTATTTGCATGGATTATGTTGTATACAAGGCTAGAACTGATGATTCTGTAGACTCATACAGAAAACCTAAGAGCTCCTAGAGCTGAAAAATATCAGTGCTGCAAAAATAACAATGCTCATAGTTTAGTCAACATTTAGTCAACAGTCAGACTAAATGTCATGATTCTCAAGAAATGAAACACAGGTCAGTAAGTGTTAACGCCATTGAATTCAGAGGATAGCCTGTCTGTAAACACTACAAGACAGTTAAGTAAGGCCAGGGAAGGAGAGATTTATTTTAGTGAGAATAAAGACAATGTGCAAAAAGGAGCAGTGGGCTGTGAATTAGCATGACGAAAAGCTACTGAAAAGGAGACATTTTGGGAAGCTAAAGAAGGGTCTGGAAACTGGCTGAACAATTTTGGGGACAAGTTTTACATTGCAAAGTTACAGACGATTATGCTAACCATGCTACGCAAAGCAGTGTCACTCAACAGCGTGTCCATTGCTGAGGATCCTGGGAGAAAGGAGATGTCCTAAATACAGATAAAGGTGCAACAAGCTATGTCCTGTCTGTCTTCCGCACATTTCTTACCTTGTAGCAGTTCTTTTTTCCCCAGTTTGAGCAGTTTCGTGCATTCTTTCCCGAGGTACTCAGTCACGTTCCTAGATGCAACGCAGGATCCTGTACATCTTTTCTGGATAAATCTTACTGTCATCACTAGAACACTTTAGTCTTTCGGAGGAGCAAGCCCTGGGTTATAATTTCATGAAATCACCATTAAATCAAAAAGAAGTAAGCATCTTACCACTACAGCAATTTCAGTGGACTCCTATTTTTGTCTTTGAGCAGATGGCTAGAAATCACAGAATCACAGAATCACAGAATTGCCAGGGTTGGAAGGGACCTCAAGGATCATGAATCTCCAACCCCCCTGCCACATGCAGGGCCACCACCATTCCACCTAATGCTAGACCAGACTGCCCAGGGCCCCATCCAATCTGGCTTTGAACACCTCCAGGGACGGGGCATCCACAACCTCCCTGGGCAGCCTGTTCCAGTACCTCACCACTCTCTCCGTAAAGAATTTCCCCCTGACATCCAACCTATATCTCCCTTCCCTCAGCTTAAAACCATTTCCCCTTGTCCTGCTGTCAATATACCCTAATACCCTAGTTTGTCACTGCAGCTCCAGGGATCAGACAATAGGATGCACAAACATACACAGAAAGGTGAATCATGATGGTATGGCTCTGAGAGCCTTTTCTAATAACAGGATGATCGCTTGCTGTGTTTGTTCAAGCTTCTCGACACATCTCATCCACATCACACATGCTCACATGACTAACGAGAGCCTTTCCACAGTGTCTCCCATGCAAACATTAATCCCATTTGCCAAATAATTCTCACACTATCTCAACCTGGCATGTGTGTTTCTAGTCACCATGTGATCATTTACATTTTGTCAGTAGTTATGCGGTACCAAATGTGCCATTACCATCCAAATAGTTTTGACTATTGGTCTAGCTCAGTTCCAACCATGAGAAGTAATTCTGTCAATTCAAAATACTTTAGAACATTGCTTTATCTGGGTATTCACTGCTTATGATGACAATCAAATAGGTTGTTTTACAGTAAGAATGTTCTGGACACTGAGTGGATAACTCCCAACAGGCTCAGAGCTGACCTCATTTGCCAGGTAGCTTTTAGCCACTACACATTGCTGTGAACCTCTTAATCCCTGCAGTGTGCATCTGAACCAGTGTGTTCAAGTGATGCTTATTTCTGCATCACACTGTCCCCTATCATCAAGCTGTGCATTACCGAGTTCTTTTCACTACAGTGCTGTCGCATTTAGTACAATGAAAACGTGGTTCCTTTTTTAAATAAAGTCTGAGTAATTCTGTGAAGTCAAGAAGATAGAACTCTGCGTACACATTTATTCCAACAACTTAAATCTTTTTGTCTTTTGCAGCTCTGACATCCTAAGTAACTTTACTGAACACACAACCAAGCTCCTAATTCACTACTGAGCACTACTACTTTTTTAGAAATACTTATACACTCTAAGAGCCATTTGGTGTCATTGCTTCCAGGTTGAAGAGCCATTAGATTTGGTCTGACAATGAGTAAAGTTCTGCCTTACTGGATATATCTAATTCGCTATCAGATTCTGCAGCGGCAGATTTGGCAGCGGAGGTAGACAGGCGTGCTCTCTGATGGCACCATTCATACTGATGTGCAGTACAGAGGAATGCCACTTTAAAATAATTCCTGCATAAAATATTTGCAAGAGCATTACGACAGCAAGCAAAGTAGCAAGATACCTCATGCTCTTGGACTGAAGAGCACTTGCTCCTATTTCTGTATTGCATTTAAGAAGGATCAAGTCCTGATTTGAAAGAAGCGTAAGGAAGACTAGAAAACTTCCTAATGTGAACACATACTTGAAGCCACCAGCTCAAGTGAAAGCAATTGCTGACAACAATGCTTTAAATTACCAAGCTCTTTATAGCTGGGATTTTAACAGGACTTGGTCTAAACCTAACTCTGAACAATTTAAGTCTATGGTAAAACTACAGACAACTCCAAAGGGAGGCTGAGGCCTCACCAAAAAATTTTTAAAGGATTTTTAAACTTTCACCTTTCTGCTTTAGAGTATTTTGTGAACATATACACCTCAGAGGTTTTATATAGCTGGTGAGTAAGCTAAAACATATGGGAAATAAATTTGTTCTACACTACAGAAGAAATCTCTGTCAGAGATATAACTTATATTCAAAGATCTGTTGCTATCTTATTCTTCTCTGTGGTACAGGAATCTTCTCATTGACCTTTCAAACCCACAGGGCAGAAATGACAGTATCAGTGAGTTAAGGCTGGTCAAGTCCCTACCAAAGAAAAGTTACCATGATTATACTTTTGGCACTACAGTATTCATTTCCTTAGTACTAAGTAGAGGATAATACTTTAAAGCATTCATTAAGCTTTACTTAGGCTGAGTTTAAGTTTCAAGGCACTTCAAGTAGAGACCCAGGAGATGTAAAAAACAAACAAACAAACAACAACAACAAAAAAACCCTAATGTTTTATCAGTTGATCTTCAGCATGTAATCTCTGATAATGTCAGCTCTTTGAAAAAGAAAATTAAGAATCTACAGTAAAAGTAATAATAATTTTTTAAAAAAGAAAAAAAAAAAAAGAACAAAACCAGAAATCAGTCAGTGACAAAATAGTGTTGAGGCAGACTTCAGGAAATATATTTTCCAGTGTTACATTCCAAGATATTTTTAAAGCACAGATATTGAAAGCAGATTCCTATACAAATCTTAATCAGTTACAGTAGCCACTAGAGTTAGTGGCTCCTAACATGTGGCAAATATAAAATATTTCTAATTCAAGCCATGTCATGCTGGTATTTTACCAGCATTCCTCATGCTATTGTTATACTCCCACTAGTTTCACAGCATTTGATTCTTTCTGAATGCAAGACCATAGCATGTCCCTTTTTGACATTAACAGAAAGCTGTACTGCTGTAATAATCATGGTTCTTTCCATCTCAGTATCTCAAAATAATTTAACCCTTACCTCTCAATTTTGTAGTTGGAGAAACTTTAACTCAAAATCACATGCCGATTCTTTGGATTCATCCAGCAGTAATTTCATTGTAGGGCCTAGAATGGAAAATCAGCAAAAAGCTGTATGGCTTAAACTTCATAGAGCCTCTCTAGTTTCACAAACAAAAGTCTTGTCCCCTGCAGTGGCAAGGGAGAGGGATGCTCCACTGGTTGCCTTTCACTGTCCCTTGATGCTGTGGTCCTGGAGAGGATGGGGCACATGAGGCATAACCCGACGTGAGTGCTCCCACATGCAAGTTATGACCCACAGTGTGGCACCTCTTGCAGGTCCTTGCCCTGGGATTGGCATCAAATTCAGACATGAGGAATCCACATGCATTGGGATGGAGCTACAGAATCACAGAATGGCCGGGGTTGGAAGGAACCTCAAGGATCACGAATCTCCAACCCCCCTGCCACAAGCAGGCCACCAACCATTCCACCTAATGCTAGACCTGGCTGCCCAGGGCCCCATCC